AAGAAAAGGTTGTTAAATTACTTGTAAAAAAAAAAAAAGATCAAAATTTATTAGAAAAAAAATATAAACATAAAAGAAAAAAAACGAAAAAATAAATATTATGTATCGTAAGGCTTTTGTTTTTTTTGAAAATCGAATGTGTTAACATTTTAATAACTTCAATAAAGTTTCATGAGTTTCATGGCGTGTGTTCCTCAAATGGTTCAATGGTTCAAATGGTCAGGTACACTATATACAGTAATAAATGATTCTGAATATCTGCTTAACGTTTAAAGATAAAAGAAAAATTATTCATCCAAACGTGGCTTAGAGTTGTTGAGCTTTTTTTTTTTGCTACTGTGTTTTGGTCTTCAATATATTGTTCAAATGTTTTTTTTCCTTCGTAAACATATTTTGGATTCTTTTTTTTTGAATCAATGCTAATACTTTGGTTGGTAATGCGCATTATTCTGGAATCCGCAAATAGCATACATAGTTGTATAGATCGACTTCGTTCGACCTTTTTAGCGGTGTTTGTGATTTCAATTCCTTTTTTTTTTTTTGTTTAAAAAAAAAAAAAAAAAAAGAAAAAAAAAAATTCATCTTCATCTGACAAGAAAGACATCTACTGTACGCACCAATCTCGTTTTTCGAATCATACTTGCCAAATCTCACTTTCCGAAACTTCAGTTTATATCGAAGAATTTTGAGAATTATTATTATTTATTATTAATTTTTTTTTACCAATCTTGAATGATTTCTGTATTTTCAAAACAATCGAAGCTAAATCCATCTTCCAAGCGCTCATCGATCCATTCATCCAAAACATCATAAGCTTCTTTACCCAATTTTAAAAATCTTATGTTCCAATAAAATTTTTCAAAATTTTTTTCGGTTATATCATCTAACCAAGCATCATCGTCGTGATGGTATAACCAATGTAATATAGTACCAAAACATTCGGGATACGGGATTGGTACAAATAAGGTATCAGGTAACTGTGAAGAAGATGAATGGAGGTTTATCGGGCCGAAGAGTTGGTTGAAGTACCCCGATTGGGTAGCCAATATCAAAGTATGAATACGAAAATAATAATCGGGTGGTGATCCTGATGATGGTGAAATTTTTTGAATGGGTAACGGATTACTTTGTGAAATATTTGTATCTGAATCATCATCACTTGTTGAATTATGTGAATCAACTATTGGTGATGAAGGTGGTGAAGGAATTACGTTATTAACTTGATCATCATAACGTTGAATACTATGACTCATTATTTGTTTATAATTAATCATAGCGGCATTGAAATAAATTGTTAAGGCTGCGGCATCAGCAGCAGAACAAAATTTATCACTACAGACGACAGGTAATGTTGTTTGACAGTCCATTAAATGCTCTTGCCATTCATTTTCAGATCCATATTGTTGTTGTTCATACTGTTGTTGTTGGGTCATGTTTTGATTAATTATCCAATTGCTTCTCACTATATGGTGTAAGCTATTCAAATTTCTATTTAATATATTGTTTTTTTCGCAAAATTGATTAAAAAAGGTACAAAAATAATCAACCTCTTGAGGTTTAATTATCTTTAAAGAATAATCAGCCTGAGGATCGTCCCAATGAGCCGGTCCGATTTCATCAAGGTTGTTTAGAAAGTATCCTACGGGTATCAATCTATTTGAAAATGGATCGTTATAAACGGACGGTGTATGGTCAGTAGCCTTATACATAGGAAGTATAACGCGCTTTCTGCGTGCTGGAAGACCCATGTTTTTTTTTTGGTGTATATTAAGTTATTGTTCGAGTTTATTGTTTATTGCTTGAGTTTATTGTTTAAGTTTTGGTTTGAATAATTGTTTGAGTAATTGTTTGAGTAGTGCTTGGGTGGTTAACGTTTATACAAAAAGTTATAAAAAGTTTTTTAAAAAAAATTTATATAGAAAGATTCTCTGAATCTTTAAAAAAATCTATATTGTGTATTAATATATATATATAATAATTGCGTTTTATTTGACAATGTTATTTAACAGATTTCGTTATTTTTTTTTAAAGTGTATTTATAATATTTATAACCGTTGAATGATAAATATATGCTTGATATATGAATCGAATCAAAGGATTTTTTTTTTGTATTTTTTTTTTTTCGTTTTAAGTGTCGTTAATCGTCATGAACGTAAAGATTTTTTTTTTCAGTCTTATATTTTGCTAGAATTTAAACCTTTACGGTGAATGGAGAAGTTTATGATGTATCTAGAAACTAGATACGAAAGATATAACGTACTTAAAAAGAAAACGTAAAGTTGAAAACGAAACAACTGAAAATCGCAATTTTGATGGTGTTTTTAAGACGTATATATATATAAAATTTGATCAAGGCGTTTGAGTACAATTTTGAATACTTTAAAGTATATGTATAAAAAAAAACAGGATTATCAGCCTTTATATCCATAATGGAAACTTGATTGTTACCCAAATGCGGAACTCTGTTTAATTATAAAATACTAATATTTTTTTTACGTACGTGCAAGCATGCTATCGATACATGTAGATTACATTTGATCGAGCCGAGTCGTACATCAGTTCAAATGATGTTGAACTTATAAGAAATACTATACGTATTAATTTATTCGTTAATACAAATTTATTATTAACTAAGAAAAGTGAACATAAATATATATAAACATGTTATTAATTAACAAAAACGAAGAACAAGACTCGGGTTAACTCCTTAAATTTGTTATGCTCCTTAATAAAATTTCTGACATTTGATTTGTCGCCACCTTTTTGCGTTATTAATAATGATTTCCTTTAGTACTGCATTTAATAAAAAAGCTTTTTTCCGTAGGGGATAATTTTAAACATGGCTTAACTTGCCTAATTTGAGTGATCGACAAAGCTATTACATATAAGTTTTTTTTAAAAATAGGATTTTTTTTTTTTTTTGTTACCCATGAATGTTTAAGCGTAAAAAAAAGATCATTAACTACATAACCAGCTCAAAAATGATTAATTTTATTCGTTTTTCGCTTTTTAGTTTTTTTTTTTTTTTTCGCTTTTCGTAAAATGGATTTATAAACTTATCACACATTGATATGTACATACATATGGACGTAAATACGGACGTAATTACAAACCTATAAGATCGTTGAGATCACCACTACATAATAACAACATAATAACAACATAATAAACGACATAATAACGACATAATAACAAGCTAAAAGTGTATGCCCGTAAAAATACCTAGCATATTGTTAATCAAATAATTAGTCTGACCCTTACGTTACAGTAAATAATGCATTTAGCATTATTTTCACATTTTTATATCGTAACCAGATGATTGTTAAAGGTAATTCATTTAATCATTTTAATCATTTTAATCATTTTAATCATTTTAATCGTTTTAATCGTTTTAATCGGTTTAATCGTCAGCAGTTCAATGCACAGAAAAAAAAAAAGAGATCAAGTTTCATCATTTAAACAAATATCTGATTTCCTTTAAAATAACCTAATCAGGCGTAAAAACCTGATTCTTATATGGTATCTCATCTCCTTGTAGGCTTGCAGAAATCATTAACCAATTCCCACAAATATCCAGTGGTGACCCTGAAACACGGTGCCAACGATATATAAATCATGTATAAATCATGTAAATGAAATAGTAAATGAAAATAGCTTAATTTAAGAATAGTAATACGATTTTTTATTTTATTTATTTTTATTTTACTTTATTTTTATTTTTTTTTATATTTATCTTTGGCTTATTGTTTTTTTATTTTTTTTATTTTTTATTATTATTATGATTTTTATTTTATTTTTTGCTTTTTACTTTTGATAGATTACCAAGAAGAGAAAGTAACCTAAGGGACACTCGTGACACGTACGTAAATCTTTAAGAATTTAGAAAAAAAAAACAAAATTCTCAACTTTAATTCTTAATATACCTATATTTATTCTAGAAATTTTATTGATCAAAGAATATAATAACACTAAACATGAATAAATAAATATGCATAAATCTCCGTCAAGTGTGCTGCGCTAAGTATGCTAAAATGCGCAAATGAAAATGGTATCGATAAATATATTCGTTCAATAAATATATTCATTCCATAAATATAAATATATTCATTTCATAAATATATTCATTTCATAAATATATTTTTTTTTTCTTTTTTTTTTTTTTTTAACAGATTATAGACAGATAGGTACGTACGTAAGTACTTACTGTACGCGCGTATCTCGATAGTTATACGTGCGTACCTCGATAATTATGAATGGAATGACAACTTAAACAACTTTCTTTATTTAGCTTGATTATTAAAAATTTCCTTTCTGGATTAAGTACGCGTTTAACTAATGCATCAAAGAAAATGTTACGCATTTATAAACAGGGTCACCGAATATTATAAGAGTAAATGTAACATGATAACATTGTAATTTCCATAATTACCGTTAATGATTTAGCTACATAATCTTAATACATATACTATTATGTATATTATATATGCTATTTGTTACATATGCTATCATGCTATTTATTAAATATGCTACGTACGCTATATGCTTACGTATACTAAATGCTATATGCTATATGCTATATGCTATGTATGCTTTCTTTTATTTATTTTTTTTTTTTTAAAGCGATCCAAATGTGTAGTCTTAAAGTTTTTAGGATTCCACATGTCGTTTAACCACGATCTATTCAAAGATGATCTGCAAATGATTAATTTGTTCGTGCTCACATGCGTTTTTGATTTACATGATACGAGTTTAACTAAAGGTACCAGACTTTGCATTTTACGCATCAATAGCAATAAGTAAGCACATCCTATAATATTTATTTACCACCCCACAAAATATATATAATTTATATAATTTATAATAATTTATACGTATACACGCGTACTTATAAATGGATGTACAATTTTAAATGTATACTTTTAAATGTATGTTTTTACATAAATATATACTTTTAAATTATTAAAGTTTATATTTTTTACGCCAGTGGACAAATGACTCCAGAACTCATCATTTCTTGTTCTTGAGCAGGAATAACTATTCATCCGTAAATAAGATTAAAGAATTCCCGTTTGAATTCTTTTTTAAATAAACATTAAAAAAAAATTATCAATTTAAAATTATATAATTATTATGTTTACGATCTAACAAAATCTTGTGATCTATTTTATTTACGCCTTGACTTTTTTCTTTTTTTTTACCTACTGAAAAACATTCATTATTCCTATACTAGAACTTTGATGTTTTTTTGTACTCCATTATTAAGGGAACAGCTATTTATTGATAACATAAATACTGTAATTGTAAGATTTTATTAAATCATCTGACCTACTCTCACAAACTATTTCCTTTCTTAACTCAATTCCTAAATACTATATACAATTCCTAGTACAATTTCTAGTTCAATTCCTAGTTCAATTACTAGTTCAATTCCTAGTTCAATTCCTAGTTCAATTTCTAGTTCAATTACCAGTCAATTACTAGTTCAATCCCTAGTTCACTTCGGAGGTATATAAATATATATATATAAATGACACAAATATACAAATATGCAAATATACAGATATACAAATATTCTTTTTTTTCCATAAGTTATACCTTGTTTTTCCATACGTAGTTTATTCCGTCGTTGTTTATTCCATATGTTGTCAGTACACTATTACAAATGTTATTACAAATGTGTATATAATATCAAGTAAGTACAAAAAATTTGTCCTAATCTACCGTGAAAAATAAAAACCTCACTTTCCAAATTTGTAGATGTAGGGAATTCTTTTATGGATAAAACAAAAAATAAAAAAAAAAAAAGGAATCTAAATTTATAAAATGTTATTGCTGCACCGCCCAAGAAACCTGTTATTTACAAAATCCATTTTTTTTTTTTTTTTTAAACGTAAAATGATAAAAATGATAACTTAAAAAATGTTTAAAAAAAAACTTGGAAAACTTGTTATTTACCTTTATATATTTTTTATATATTCGGTAATGATTTGATTTGTGCCCCTTTTTATTAC